TATAAGGTTGTTTTTAACTTGTCCTTCACTCATAAACTGACTAAAAGTGTTTTTGGTGCTCTTGTATTCATAATGACCAGCAGCACATCTCGCTCCAACCACGGCGGGACTAAACACATCTGGCCAACGTTTCTTCGATGCTTCCACGTAATCCGTTTTAGCTGAGTAGACCCTTTCTGTGGGACGTGAGCTGATTTGTGTCCTCTCCGATGACGAGACATTCTGAAATGTTTAAATGCATTTTTCTTTACCTTCTAGTTTGTTCCCAGTTCTCTCGAGGGGTCTACGCTATTTTTGGGTTCTACGACAAAAAGTCGGTCAACACCATCACATCCTTTTGCGAGACACTTCATGTCTCCTTCATCACGCCGTCTTTCCCAGTGGAGGGAATGAATCAGTTTGTTCTTCAAATGAGGCCAGACATCAAGGGACCTCTGGTCTCACTGGTGGAGTACTACAAGTGGGAAAAGTTTGCCTATCTCTATGACAGCGACAGAGGTAACCGATTCAGAACATTCTGTCTGGGTGCAGTTGCTGCATGATAATTAACCCGTATCCTAAGGTAATAAAATGTGGAAATGCAACAAGTGTGTGTGTGTGTGTGTGTGTGTGTGTGTGTGTGTGTGTGTGTGTGTGTAGGTCTGTCAACTCTTCAGGTGGTTCTCGACACAGCAGCAGAAAAAAATTGGGTCGTAACGGCGATAAATGTTGGAGACCTAAAGGATGAGCGAAAGGATGAAGCCTACCGCTCCCTGTTCCAGGTACGGAAACAATGCCTTTTGCTGGGTTTTTTTAAGGGACTTTATCTCTGATGGAAGAGCAGAGGTGCACCAGACTCATTTTATAAATGCTCCCATCGGGAATACTCATGCTGATTATGGACACAACTTCTGGTAAGATGAAGGAGAGTGACTTGTCAAATGCCAAACGTGTTTTTCCTTAAATGCACTGGTGCCTCCTGGTTGCTTCTGTTCTGAAATGTCCTCAGCTCTGGTGTTTCTCCTCCAAACACACCCACATCACCCCGCTTCTCCTCCAGCTTCACTGGCTGCCAAGATCCTGGTTCTGGTCTATGGGGCCTTACATGGACAAGCACCATCTTACATTGGTGATCTTCTTAGTCCCTACACCCCCAGCAGGTCCCTGAGGTCCAGTGACCAAAGACTACTGGTTGTGCAGCACCAGGCTAAAGGTCAAAGGTGACAGATCATCTGCTGCTGTGGCCCCCAGACTCTGGACCTCTCTCCCCCTGAGCCTGAGATCAGTGGACTCAGTGGTCTCCTTTAAACTCACCTGTTTCTTTTTCTCACTTTTTATTATTTGTGTTTACGTTTAACATCGTGCCTTTGAGCACCTTGGTATATTTTTTACTTGAAAGCCTCTATGAGAGAAACTTTATTTCATGCTAAAGTGTAAACAGTTAGGAAACAATCAGAGGCAGTTCAGCTGAGGAAGATCTGGTCTCATGAGGACAAATGAGACTGTCCCTAAGTGTGACGTTAGGGCCTGACACTAATGATAAAAGCTCGTGTGTTTTTAGGACCTCGAAATCCGTAAGGAGCGGCGCATCGTCCTGGACTGTGAACAGGACAAAGTCAAAGACATATTGGAACAGGTTGGTTTCAGTTTTGTTTGTTATCTTTGATGGAAGACCAAAATGTAGCTTCTGGTACATCTTGGTATGTTTCAGAGGTACACGTTCCATGTCTTTGTATTTGTGAATGAATTTGTAGTAGGGGTGGGACTTTAACGCATTAATTATGGTTAGTTAATTAGAAAAAAATGACTCGTAAAAACAATACAAACATTTAATCGCAGCTTGCATTTTAAGCACGGTGGAACCGTTGTCATTGCATCATTTCCTCGTAGACCGAACATCACTGACGCACACAGCAATGCACAGTGCTTTGTTAACGGCTGCTAAAACAGAATAACATCTGCTTGGACTGATGCAGGATTTAGGAAACACGTCAGCCTCTTCTCTTGACTTGTGAAAAACCAAAAACTTCCCAACAACTATGGAGTCCGTGTCGCGGATCGTCTCTGATCTCTGCTGCTGCTGCCCGGTGGCACTAAACCTTACAAAAGTGGAGGAAAGCTATTTTTTAAACATATACGTAACATCTGTGCAGCGCTGAAAGCACCAGTCTGAGTAATTTTTGCCCTAACAGTAGTTTATGAAAGTAGTCAGACAAACGAGAGGCTGCAGCTGGGAAGATGCTCCGTGTCCTCACTCCTCTGTAAACAGTCACAAACAACGTGTCCACTGTGTAAACATCGCATGCGTTACTAACCCTAAGCAAGGCGTGTTGAAGCGGTCATCGGCTGATCCGGAGCTAATGGGGCGGATGTTTAAGTGCGTCAGGGGCAGCGAGGAATGAGAAAGTTGCGATCAGATTCGCTGCTGCAGGCGTGAATCTGCGGGTCTGCAGCCATCCCCTTCTTGACGTGACAGCGGGACTTCCCATGTAAGGAAGGTCCGCTCACCTGTTCACCGCTCAGGCTTAATTCCTCATCACGATCATTTATCATCCCATCATCCTCCAGTCATCCAACTGGAACCAGTTAGTGTTCCTGATCATTCTCAGAACATGTTAAACCTGCTCTGGTGTTAAACGTTAGAAAATGTAAGTCCCAGATCACATTTGTGCCTGTTCTTCTGTCATTTTAAGGCTTTTTATGTTTTTACTACTTTGAGTAGAAATGCTAATAAAAACACCCAATTATACAAACAAGTGAAACTGGAAAAATTATAATCTGTTGCAAAGTCCATTTATTTGAGTACCGTATTTTCATGACCATAGGGCGCGCCGGGTTATAGGGCGCAGCTTCAGTTAAGGGTGTCTTTTTGGTATTTAACACTTACAAAAGGCGCACCGGGTTATAGGGCGCGGGCACGGTAAAACGTACCGGTAAAACATCTGTGCGGGCTCGGGACTCGGAACATATCAGTGCAAACCAGACATTGTGAAAATTATAAACAGCCAAAAGCATTTTTCATTTTACTGGTCTAGTCCTGGTTCAGACCTGGTTTAGAGCGCACGTGCACTTCCTCATTGCGTGCGCGGACGGCTCGTGCTCTTCTTATGCGCTGTGTTTAAGTTTAGATTGTGTTTACCGGTAGTTGGTGGATTTAACCACATAAACTTTCCACATGAACAAAATCATATGTGTGTTATTAATAGGCCTAAGAAAATAGTGTAATTTGAATTGTGTTTTATTAAAAAAGGCAGCGGGAGCAAATATGAGTTTGGATGGGCTGGATGTGTTTGTCGGCAATCTTCTTACTGCAGTAGGGCGGAAGATGGACAGCTTTTCTGTGTAATCCACTGGAAGTTGCTGCGCCACCGTAGTCCTTGCCCGGATGGAAAGATGGCAGTGTTTCATAAAACGAAAGCACCAAGACGGACCTCCTTGAAAATGTTCAATGTTCATTTCTTGTGCGAGCGTTACTGCTCTCAGATGAATGGTGACGGTAGAGATGCTTCCCCCGTGTTTCTCCGCGTAGCTGATCGCTTGTAGTTTAAACTGTGCTTCATAGGCGTCTCTTAGCAGGTGCAACTCTCAGGGTTGTCAGAACAATGTTCAGCATACCGCGCATGCCTGCCCTTTTGAACTATTCGGAGTCTGTCTTCGCTCACGTCCGCATGTTCACGCCACGCCCCTTGCCGTTCTTGCCACGCCCCTTGTCTTCTACAACGTTCGCGTCTCACAACTACACAATAGGCGCACCGCACCATAGGGCGCGGCGTAAATTTTGGAGAAAATGTAAGACTTTTAGGTGCGCCTTATGGTTGTGAAAATACGGTAATTCAACTAGACAGAGAGAATTCAAAAGCTCAGGAACCCTTTGCAGGTGTTTTCTATTTGCTATTATACATTTTAGTTGATTTGGGTCTAGTTTCATATCGCTCAGTGACATTAGAATAATTAAAATGCATTTTTTTAGAAAAGCTTTAGTTTACAGTAACAACAATGTCTAATGTTTGATTCTCTGTCTCATAATTTTAATTTAAAAAATGCTTTGAGGGCACATTTTCCTGAACGATTAAAATGGGATTAATTTAGATTAATTAATTGCAAAGCCTCTGATTAATTAGATAAATTATTTTTATCGAGTCCCACCCCTAATTTATACACAAAGTGGGGCAGTGAGAAATGCAGCATATCTCAAACAGATGAACTGAGGTCTTTTCTGCTTTAGAATCTTAGTTTGAACCACATAACAGTGGACTTGTGAACACAACGGCTTCAGTAATGTTGCTACTTGCGTCATCTCCTCCGTAATCTGCGCTGTAACTTTGTCTTCTCCTTTAGCTCTGAACTGAAATTCCATTTGTACGTATTTTAAATAATGTTTTTATGTTGTTTTCATATCACGTCCTGATAATTTTAAAGCACATTGAATTGCCTCTCTGTTTGAAATGTGCTCTATAAATAAAACTGCCTTGCCTTGCCTTGATCTGAACTATGTTGCTTTGTTTTTGTTTCCTGTAGGTGATCACTATAGGCAAGCATGTGAAGGGCTACCACTACATCATTGCAAACTTGGTGAGTTGCTGTCTCGTAAACATTTGAGTCACTGATAGATCATGAGTCACTGATACACATGACACCCGTCTTACACAAGCTGCATTGGCTCCCTGTACATTTCAGGATCGATTTTAAGGTTCTTTTAATGGTTTCTAAATGTCTTACCTCAAAGAACTGTCTCACCTTTTTAGTGTAGTTTTCTACAGGCAGGGCAAGGGAGAGCCGTCTTTACCGACTGTACACTCCACCTCCCTCTACTCCCCCACTTGTCCAGATCTGGACCAACATCAGATTTTAACCATAGACCCTATCAGGCAACTCTCAAAGCAAGATGGGATAAAGGGAGGTCGCTGCCCCCCAATGTCTGGGGGACATGCTGCACATAAGTGCATAGCCCTGTGAACACCTCCCGAACGGAAAAGCCCAAAGACAATGTTTGTGATTAAAAGAAAGGATTTGTTCAAGAG